ATCACTGGTTTAAGGCTCTCTGTCCAAATCTAAATCAAATGGCAAGAATCTGGGAGGACAAACCCATAGAAACACGCTCGACTTCCACCAGGAGCTGGATAGGTGAGTTCAGGTCCTTACCTGGACTGGCATGGGAGCTGTTGTGGCTGCTTGTGGGAGAGCTGGGGGACCAGCGACCTGTAATAACATTGCCCTGGTCAGAGCATGAATTTTAATCTGTTCTCATTCTTTCCATGATCCGACCTAGCAAGACATTACCAACGAACGTCAGAACTAAGGTAAAGCTTTGTCCTTGGGTGGTCTGAATCCACCCCAAGGAGGCCCTGAAATGGAAAAAGAAGGGTGGTGGTGGTGGGGATTTAACTCCAAATACTGACTGAAAATTCCAGGTAATAATAACCCCTGTATTTCACAATTGTCAAAGTAAGTATCTTTTGCTAAATGGCCATATTTTTTTTACACTTCATTATTCTTACAATAATTCTCCTCAACTGTGCCACTCCTGAGGAGGCTAAAGTAATCCTTCAGTAGCAATGTCACTTAACATTTCACAATTTGCCCAAACGGTGTTAACATGTATTGATGCAAACAACATTAGCTTTCAGTCATCTTAAAGGTACACAATGGGTTATCCTTGATTACTTTGTGAGAAAATCAAATACACTTCAGCATTCATTATTTATCGGGCAATTTCTCTGAAGCAAGGCTTTAAAAGGGACACAAAGTCCATTTTGGGGGAAAGGGAACCATGTGAAAATGAGCTGAGGGAAAGAGCCAAATTTCACAGAGGGGAAGAGATAGAAGGTCATGGAACAGTATCAGTTCCTCAGAAAGCTGAATCTATCCACAGTCAATGTTTCACTCCCTTTGACTTTGTTCCAATTATTTGAATACAAACTCAAAGTAGCTTTGTTTTCTCGCTAATGGTAAAGAGAACATGTGCTCACTGTAAAAATACGTACCATGTATAGTAAGAACTCACCTGCAATCCCTCTATCCTGCAGTTACTGGTACACACCCATGGCATAAAGCACTGTTTCCCTCTCTCTAGGCACACATTCTCACGCACGGACAAGTACCAAAGCGAGATCAGCACCCGTGCCGTTTTGTCGCCTCCTTCTTTGACCGAACAGTCTGTCACGGGCCAACCTCATGTCAGTAAGTGCATATATTCACCAAAATGTTAATAGCTGTGTGGTAATTGCTCTAACCATTCTGATGGTAGACAATTGAACCGCTTATCTTTATTTTTCTATGAGGAACAACATCTGTGTCCAGGCTCCTCCTCACCCTCAGATGATAATTACCTTAGGATATACTCTCGTAAGTGCGAATTCTGGGTCGCTTACAGTTCTTCCACTGTGGCTTGTGTGGTCATGACCTTCCCCCATTTTTCTATGGGAAGGTTCCTCTTTTTCTTGCTATTTGTAAGATTGGATTTTAAGAAAACAAGATAAACTTTCAGAGAGGAGATAAGTGTTGGTGAGAAGGGAAATCGCGTGCGGGGGGCGGGAAGGGCAGTTGGAGATGCTGGTCTCCCTCCTCCTCCCTGGAAAGGTGAATGCCCACAGCCATCTACATGCCTTGCCACTAGGTGGCGCTCTGCTCCCCTCCTTGGTCTGCCCCTTCTTTGTGGACAGACGTAATCAGTTAGGTCTCCTGAGGCAACTGTGGCACTTCTTGGAAAGAACCTGACTAGGAAAAATAATGCCCAGCAAAGCAACCCCACCCTTGGAAGCCTGTGGTAGATTTAGCTGACCCTGCAGCAGGCCTTTTCCAGAACTCTTTCTTCAGCATATCTGTCGATCTGGTTCTACCTTGCTGCCCCCCTCTGGCCCTGGGATGTGGCCCTGTAGCTGCCTAGCTCCCGTGGGTGCCTGTGTAGTCCTTGGCATCTCCCATGACGAACAGAACAGCCTCCCTCTTGTCCCTCCGAGAGGTCTCTATCGCTCTGGCTCTTGGCTCCCCTACCCCCAGCCTTGACTTGTTCCTCGCTATCTTGTTAGGTTTACCCGTTCATGGGTCAGTTAAGGGGTGTCCAGCCCCATCTTCCTTGTTCTTCCACGTGTATCAGCTCCTCTTCCTGGGCCGGGAGAGCCCCTGTCTTTTCCGGCTACGAAGTTTCCACTTTCCACTAGACTCCCTCCAAGTTCTTATGTTCTGTGTGAGCGGCAGCTCTTTATCTCATTGTAGAGCAAAGAGGACTCATAGACCCCAAATGCAGATTATTCCTGTTCTGGCTACACACTTCTAGGTGTCCAGAGCTGAAGCGAACCCATTGCAGGGATCTCGGTACAATGTGTTCATACGTGTGGCCCAAGATCCCAGAACAGTGCCTGACACATTGTAGGCACGCAATAAATATTTGTTGGTTGAATAAATAAATTAACTTTCACTTGGCCACCCCATCCACAACCAACTTCTAGAATCTTTTGACTCTAGTCACATATAAAAAGAGAGGGGAAAGCCCTTAATAAATGTAGTAACAACAACTCACTTATCTATCAACAGTAGAAGAGTTGTTCTGTTAGAGTTGGCAGAACATGCTCAATTCATTTGAAGAAGAAAAGGGATTATCTGTGCACTAAATATTATTTAATTTAGTTGGGCTAAAATATCACAGCAAATATCTATGGCCATACATTAATATAGGCATTCATGAAAGTAGATGGGCGATTACCTGGTGCTGGGGAGGGAGGGATTAGTTCATGGGCACAGGGTTTCTTTTTGGGGTGACGAAAATGTTCTAGAATCAGTCACGGTGATGGTTGCACAACTTGGTGATTACTAAGAATCACTGAATTGTACACTTTAAATGGGTGAATTGTATGATATGTGAAAAGTATCTCAACTAACTGTTATTAACAAAAAGACACAGGTCTTTAAACACCCATTTTCACTTCTCTTCGTCCCTACAGAAAATCCTTTGAGTTGGCAATATCATTTTTTCTCACCCTCTGTCCCCTCCTCCCTGCCCAGTTTGGCCCCTTTCTTGGCAGCTACGGTGGATGCGGGCCGGAGGCCTTGCTCTGAGTGTTTGCCTGGCAGTCTGTGGGATGCCCTGGGCATGGGGGCTGGGTGAGGTTGAAGAGGGAGGCCGATGGGCTGGGAGGCTGCCAGCCAACGGCCCTGTGCCCCGGCCAGGAATAATGAGACTGTGCCAGGGTGGGAACCACAACCTGAGGTGGTTGAGGTTTCTACATGCACAGGCCCAACGTGTCCCAGGATTTCCAGGCTCCCAGTGTAGCCAAATAAATATGCCACATGTTTAATTATATGTGTTATGTAAAAATTATATGTGTTATGTAAAAAAGGAGGCCCCAGGAACAAACAACTTACTCAAGTCCTCCCAAGTCTTTGAAAGAAGCAAGGGCTCTAAAAGTCAAGAGCCTGAAGTTCAGAAAGAGGAAAACTCTTGGCTGTGGGGCTCCCCCACCCAGCGTCCATCCGTCCTTCCTTCCTTCCTTCCTTCCTTCCTTCCTTCCTTCCTTCCTTCCTTCCTTCCTTCCTTCCATTTCTCTCGCTGGCAGGCACCCTGAGCCTGTGCTCTGGCCGCCCGCTAGGGTTACACGGGAACGGGATGGGGGGCGTGTCTTATGTATTCCAGACAGTATTTTTATGGTATTTTTATTTGGGGACTTTATATCATAGTTTCTTCCATGGGTCGTTCATTGAACAGACTGATAATACTCCTAGATTCGTAGAGTCATTAGGAACATTGAATAAAGGGGTGCGCGGTGTGCGCAACCCGGGGAAGCCTGGACCGACCTGCGTTCCACTGTTGTTACTCATCACAGCGGGAGTTGGTGGTGCCTAACAGCCTGCTTCTGCGACGGCCTCATCCATGCCTGGGGCGCTCGTGGATGGCAGGGGCGCCTGCTGCAGGCCAGTCACAGGAGACCCCAGCTGCTGGGGGTTCCGCTTCTCAGCTGTGTGAGCTGGGCAGGCTTGCTCACAGCCCTGCTGCCCGGATTCCTCATCAGGACGAGGGATTAGTCAAAGTAGAAGTCGTCCATCCACTGAGATCTACTGCAGAGGGCTGGTATGAGGATGTCCTAGGCGAGTGTTTGTAAGGTGCTTCGAAGAGTGTCTAGTGCCTAGCAAGTGCTGAAATTATTTGTCAGAGAAAAGGATGAATACATGGCTGGGCTCTGGTACATATGAGAGGGGGAAGGGCCATGCTGTGTGTCGGAAAAGTCTGGAAGCTGGAGGTGACGCTGAAGACAACAAGACCCCGGCACTTCCTCCTGGAAGGAAAAAATGGCCCCAGGTGGGAAATATTTAGAAAGGCCTGCTGAGACAGAAGTGTCACTCCTGCTGCGGAATTTTCCAGGCTCTTGCCAGAAGACGTTTACAAGTGAGAGGGCTGCTTATTAGCCTTGGGCGGCTGGCATATAAGCCTGTGTAGAAACTAGAGATGGGGTTCTCAGATGAGCTCTTAAGGTCCTGTTTGATGTACTACCGAGATTAATTTCATAAAACGGACTTTGGTAAAAGCTAAAACATGACTTAAGAGATGGATGCATAAAAAGCGATCAGAAAAGGAATAAAAGTAGCTCTCTGGTTTTCCCTATAGGAGTTTCTTTGTTTTGTTTTGTTTGCTTCTAATATTTGAGACTTCCGGGAATATACAATGTGTCACTTAAAACCCAACAGTATTTCCACTGAAACCCCTACTCCTTCATCTGGGCTCGTGGAGAAATGAGGATTTTGCAATAGGAAGCTTTTGTGTAATATTCTACCTTCCACAGTCCTGCTCTCGAATCTGTCTTCAGCCTCTTCTACATGGTTTGCTTAGCTCATAGCTTGGTCCTGAATTAGCATTAGGCTCAAGTCTACCCCTTGAGGCTGGGAGGACACAACCACATACTCCTGGCCCAGGTCTTAGCACGACCCCTCACCCAGCTCAAAAGGTGGGAGATGGGCACTCCACACAAGCATTCAGAAAGCCCAGTCTCCTACTTTGCTAGCACATGACAACACACAGTCTACCTACTGACCCAGTTCCCAGCTCCTGTGGCCCACAGGCTGTGGTCTGAGGCTGCTGATGGTAGAACCTGTGGATGGGGATGGCTTTGGCAGGCTGGTGTGGGTGGCTTCGGTGGCCGGGGCTCCTGTTACCTGCATCAGGGTGACCGGCTGTGCGGGTGTTCCTGGGACTGGTGGCTTCTGATAGGCTTTTGTGGCCTCACCTGTAAAAGAGACGAAATGATACTGGGGCCTACAAAATTGCTGGTAGGCTCTTGAAGACAGAAACAAAATAAATGTTTATTGAACGCTAGCTTTGAGCAAAGAGCTATGCTAGCTGCTGTGGAGGATAAAATCCACCTGTCTGAAAGGAATGTACAGCCTGGGTGGAGCAATGAGCCAATAAACAAACCAAACACTAAATAACAATAAAATATTTAAACAATTTAAAACAGTATTTAAATGCTACAGCAACATAGAGAGGGTAGAACTCGATTAACTGTGAAATTAATTTGCCAGACACCAGAAGCAATGGTTCATGAACTTTCTTTTTCTTTCTTCCTGTCTTCCGTCCTTCTTCCTTCCCTCCCTCTGTTTCCTTCTGTGTCATTTAGCATTGACCTAGGGATGGAAGGAACCCTTGGGGCTTTCTCTATGATTGACCCTTAGAAAATTCATTCTAGATGTTCTAGCTTAGATTGGTTCATGGCTAGTCAACTAACTCCTCTGGGTCCCAGTTTTCTCATCTGTAAAATGGGGTGACAGAAATAATTAGATGGTCAGGTCCATCTAGATTCTACTTCTAAATTGGGCTCTTCATTCATGTGTAATTATTTAGATTGTTTCCATGATTTTAAACGAGTCTCAATTTATTAGTATTCTGAGTGCCCTGACGATTTCTCTGAAGGTTCAGGGCAAGGGGACAAATGGCTACCCAGTGGGCATTGGCTATTGAATTGACAACCATGGGTCTGTGCCAGAAGGAGACACAAAATGGCCCCCAAACTGAACAGTGCCCCAGTCCTGGGAGGGAACAACAGCCACAGTTACATGGGTCTCCTGAGCCCCATGGCAGGTACGCCAGGTACAGAAGCTGCCTCTTCCATTGTCTGGCACCTGCTGGCATTCCTTGGCGTGCGGCTACCCCCCTCCAGGCTTCACGGCTGACATCCTCAGGTATCTCTCTGCTCTGTCTTCATATGACCTTCTCCTCCGTGTGTATCAGATCTCCCTCTGCCCCCCCCACTGCCCCCCACCCCAGACGATTCAGGATAACCTCCCCATCTAAAGAGCCTTAACCTAATCCCATCCGCAAAGCCCCCCTCCCTCTCCCTGTGGGTGTTTTGCCAGATACAGAAGAATCCACAGATTCCAGGGACCAGGACAGGGGTATCTTTGGTGGGGGGATATTTTTCAGCTTACCCAACGCATCCTAGCTCTAGCTTTTGACTCTGCTTAGGGCTGATGCATCTCTGGTGCACAAAAAAGCAGCCAAGAGGACTGCATGTGAGATGAGAAGGCGCTGCACGCTTCTGTGAACCACCCAACTTCCCCTTTGAACCACACAACTTCCCCTTTGACACCACACAGCACGCTGGGAAAATGGTGTCAGCCCTGTGGCTGCGGACCAGCCATGCAGACAGACGTGTGGCGGGGCATGTAGACCCACTACCCAGCACTGGCATCTGGACGTTTGTCACCCTGCCGCTGCCGCCTTCTGCAGGGATCACAGCAGTGACTCAGGAGAGCAGGCTGGCTGACGGTGCCCCGGGCACGGGTGGGAGTTTGGCCCTTCAGTCTGCTCTCGTGGGCATAGGGCCATCAGGGCAGGAGACAGATCTCTCATTCACCCTGTTGCTGCTAACAGTGGGTCACCTTTAAATCTGCCCGTAGACGGTGTCAGACAAATTGCTAAAGACCTGGCAGTGGCCTTGGGGGTTCAGCCAGTCTTAACGCCATCCTTGGGCAAAACCGAACCTGTGTGATTTATGACATTTCCGTGACTTCAAAGGAATTGAGCGTTCATAACAAGTCCTAGGGAAATTTCTAATTTCTCCAAAATAGTCTCTGTCTCACCCTCCGGTAAATGTCATGAAGCATTAGTGCCTTGGCAGGGGAATGCAGGCCCAGGTTGGACCTACTTCATAAAGGGAAAAGCCATTTAATAGAATGACTTGTATATTTTACGAAATAGGATAAAATTATTAATTTGGAAAGAAATATATAAAACCTATAGTACATTTTACTTACAAATTATTAATTAAACCATAATTAAAAAATAAAACTTCTAGCAATAATGAACATTTTTGCCACCTTACACTTATTAGATATTGAAACTATGAATTATTTTTTTATCACACCATTGGATAATTCTGATGTTTCTAAATACCCCAGTCTTCCTTCGCTAATACTGATTGCTGGAGAACAGATTAAATATCCTGATGACAGCCATTTGTGTTACTTGCTTAAAACACAGATACTTTCAAGCATGTCATCAATTCAACCAACAGGTCCATCTCTGGTTTTCCATGGTCTCCCAGGGGTTTTGTTTCTGCTTGCTCTCCTGCATGGAATAGAACTGTCTTTAAAATGAAGAGAGAAAAAGCTCTACCCCAATTGCTCACAATTCCTTACTGAACATAATGCTAGATGTGACCCAAAATGAATTCTTCATAGTACCTGGTTCCTTTTGAGCAAATTAAAATGAAACCAGTTGGGGCGCCTGGGTGGCTCAGTTGTTGGGCGTCTGCCTTCGGCTCAGGTCATGGTCCCAGGGTCCTGGGATCGAGCCCCGCATCAGGATCCCTGCTCGGCGGGAAGCCCGCTTCTCCCTCTCCCACTTCCCCTGCTTGTGCTCCCTCTCTCGCTGTGTCTCTCTCTGTCAAATAAATAAATAAAATCTTAAAAAAAAAATGAAACCAGTAAAATAGTTTCTCCATATAATCTCAGATACATGGAAGTTTCATGGAAATCTTTTCAAAAGATTTTCATGGGAAAACATATAAAAAACTTCCTTTAGGCTGTTAACATATTACTCTTTGGACGAGGTCATGAACAGTTGTTTTTTTTTTTTTTTAAGATTTTATTTATTTGAGAGTGAGAGAGAGCATGAGCAGAGGGAGAGGCAGAGGGAGAAGCAGGCTTCCCACCGAGCAGGAAGCCCAATGTGGGGCTCGATCCCAGGACCCCGGCATCATGACCTGAGCTGAAGGCAGACACTTAACCAACTGAGCCCCCCAGACGCCCCGAGGTCATGAACAGTTGTAGACAACTACCTTCTCAGCAGCATTGGGAGGTCCTCAGAGCTCCTCCCTACACTTGATTCATCATTAGATCACAGTGTTAAAATGCAGACCCCAGGGCCCTAACCACATAGATTCTGATTCACTGGATCTGGGATGGGCCTTGGAAATCTGATTTGAGAACTGCCAGGCAATGTTAGACTGGACTTCTGACTTCAGCTCTCACCAGCTTGGCCACTAAAGTTCTTTGTGCCTGGCTTCCTTTGCTGAAAAATGGGGATGGTTGGACCTATCTGGCAGGGCTGTTGTCATAATTAGAGATCATGTCTGCTTGCCACGTGGTAGGTATTTGAGCAATGGCAGTAGCTGATGTCTGTCATCATGTTATGTCACACGTCTCCTTGCCCCAGTGGAAAACAGTGCTTTCAGTAGGTGTCAAATGTGAGGCACCATGAAAAAGACACTGAAGCCAGTTTAACAGCAGTGCCTGGAGGTCGGAGTGATGGGGAGGACTTGGCTCTTCCCGCCTCTAACTCACTACAGGCCTCAGGATTACACACGGGGGCAGGAAATCTAATATTCATTGAGCATCTACTATGTGCCAGACAACTGTGATGGCCTCTTTTACATAAGCATTCACATTTGATATTAATCACAATCCTGGAAGCCAATTCAAGAATTCCCATTTTTAGGGTAAGGAATATGTATTCCAAGAGGTCAAGGAATGTACACAAGGTCTCACAGACAATCGGTAGCAGAGCCAGGATTTGGATCCACATTTGTTTGATTCCAAATTCTGTATGTTTTTCCTCAAAAGGGGAACAAAGTGGAAGGCAAGTCACAAATAGCCTCAAGATTCCTGAACGTGGTTCCCATCAGAGGATGGCCCAAGACCACTGTAGAGTTCTGGTAGAAACTGTCTTACTCTCAAGACCAGGGCAAAGGGGTGGCCTTAGTGGGGATAGACAGCAAGGGCAGGAGGTTCTTAGGAAATCAAACATATCATCATAAACTTCAGCTTGATTTGCCTCCAGGGGGAGGGGCTGGGCCGATGACCAAAGGGACCCAGGAGGGGGTTCTCCTGCTACTCTTGCTCGGCAGCCTCTAATAAAGATTTACTTTCCCTTTTCTTTTACTTTAACGCCAGCAATGTGCCTTCTCGGGTTTGATGAGCTTCTACAAACCAACACTTACCTGTTTGTATTTAGCTCAGAGTAGCCTGAGACTCTAGCCAAGTAACAGCTGCCTGCATGATGGTTGCTAACTGCCTGGGGAAACAGCATTTAAATCTTAGGAATGTCCATCCTCAGCAGGAGCTGCACCAGGCAAATCAAGATGCTTTTGATTTTTATTTTTTGAAGGTGCTTTCTATTTTTTTGAGTGAGATATTTTCCCGTGGAAGAAGGTTATTATGCTTTGAGGGGGTCATCCTAACCTGATTTACCTATTAACTCACAGTCTTGGAGGGATTAAGAAGCATTTTATAGGGGCATGCCAAGACTGGAGGAACCAACTGCTGGCCCTCATGTCTTCATCTCATCTGCTTCCCCCACTTTCTGTAGGAATTTTATCATTTGGGTAGCCACAAAGTTCTCACTGGGATTTTTTTATTTGAACTGGTGAAAGCTTACTCTTTAATGAGACTATAATTTTAAGGAGCGGTTCCTCTAGAAGCTGGGCGAGAACCCAAGTATCCCTTTTATGTGTATGTTGGAAAGGGATGTTTATCCCTTCTCTTTGTGTGGGAAATCAAAGTGCCCCCAAAGACACAATAATGCATAGTCCAGCTCCCGCTTTAACACAGAAACCTAGGAAAAGGTATTTTCCTCGTCTGCGGTCCACCTGTACTCCGTTTGTGGTTCACAGGAAGCTGGGTCCACACAACCTCATAAACAGTGTATCTTTGGCTTGGTGTATTTCCATGAGTTGCTTTCTGTGAACACATACACCACACCATCCCCGTTGCTTCCCTTCATTTCCTACCTGAGCAGAGACAGCGTTTCCCCTCTCAGCGGCCAGGGAATGTTTCTAGACAGAATGTCCTGTCATCTTCTTCTTCTTCTTCTTCTTTTTTTTTTTAAAGATTTTATTTATTTGACAGAGAGATAGAGAGAGCACAAGTAGGCAGAGCAGCAGGCAGAGGGAGAGGGAGAAGCAGGCTCCCCACTGAGCAAGGAGCCCGACACGGGGCTCGATCCCAGGACCCTGGGATCATGACCTGAGCCGAAGGCAGATGCTTAACCGACTGAGCCACCCAGGTGCCCCTGGACCTGTCATCTTCTAAAGCAACAATACAGTACAATCGAAGGCAACGGTCATTCTGAATGCAAATGACACAAACATAGATATAATCTTGGAATTGCAAAAACAAAACCCAAAAACTAAAGCATTATCTCTCAACCTAGCCATCTGATCCCCTTGATTTCTGTGCCCGTGTTCTTGGCATCTGTTATAATATTGCCGGAGTCAGTGGAGCTTGACCAGTTAGGATGTTAATTTCTATACTACCTCCTAAGACACGTGTTTACAAACTTGGGTTTAGATGAAATCACATGTGAACACTTGCCTGTTTTGGCAGGGGGGCTTTTCGTTGATTAATATGTAAGAGCCGATGGGTAGGTTACACCCTTTTGGGGTTTACCTTCTGCAAAAAAAGAAAAAAAAATGGGAAAAAAATGATTTATTTCTAGAGCTAGAAGTTTTAGATGGTTCTGTTCTGGTAAGTTGATTCCCTCCTTCCTATTTATCTCTCTGGTGTTCAATAAATCCGTCAGTCTCCCCCTCAGGTGAATTGTTGATTATAATAAGAAAGTCAAGAGATGTTTTGTTTTCCTGTAGAGCCTGTGTTTTATTAATATTAGAAAGGAAGCAATAAAATCTCCATGACTCAGAGTTCCCATTAGTAACCCTTATTCTGCTCATGAAGATGTGACATGTAAGCTAAGGTTTTCATACATGTGGTGTTGAATGTTTAATTAGGTCAGTAGATGGATGTAAAAACACTCCCCAAGCTCTCCTTCTGGATGCCCCAGAGCTCTGGTCACAGGCTAGCTGTGCAGAATAGCTCTCTTTCCCTTGCACGGACCCTGTGGGATCCATTTGAATTCCATGGCACTAGAGAAACCTAAAAGTACGTTTCAAAATAAGCATTTGTTGCCCACCTAGGGAAAGAGAGTTTAGAGGCCAGGTGACGAGAAGGAATGTTAATATGTATCAGGGAAACAAAGGAGGCATAAAAAAGAAAGACGATCAGGTGATCGGGGCTGGGTAAGGAGGTACCAAGCCCGATAGGACTGAAAATTGCCCGAGAAGCCTGCAGTCTACAAAGCCTCCCTCCACCAGGAAATGATGCCTGACATGCCACCATGGGAGTTTTGCTCCACAATGAGATGGAAAGTGTCACTTGGGATACAGAAGCCTCCCCTCACCCCCGAAGGTAGGGGATCCGTCTCACTCGGTAACTGTCGAATCGGCACCTAGAGCAGTGTCTGCAAGATGCTCAATAAGTATTTATTCAGAGAAGGAATACCTTAATGCTTAGATCTCTGTTACAACTCAGGGGGTCTCACCTGTTACCCAATATTTACATCTGATAATGAAAGAATTTTAACACACAATCTAAGGAAGTAGTTTTACAGGATAGGCTTGGGGAGAAGATAGTGAGGAGTGTCGTATGGAGAGCCTGACGGGTGGGACAGAATCTAGAGCATGATTTTGCCAAAAGCCCTATTGATACAAGGGATTGCAGAGTCAGGAGGCCGACGGAATGACAGGGGCTCAGAAAGGGCCTGGCACTGGGAATAAGAACCTCTAGGTTTCTGTTCCAATTTGCCATTAATTAGCTGCCTCAATCACTGAGACTCTCATTTTTCTCATTCGGGAAATATGGACAACGATATGGGCCAATTTACTACATTAAGTTGTAGGGATCTAATGAAAAAAAAAAAAAAGAGTTAGGCTCTTTTGGAACTATATGTTACCAGAGAGATGTGAAGATTCTATGCTGACATTACCTATAAATATCACTCAAAGTGGTGATGAGGCAAAATGTTTGGGCTTATGGAGTTATTTCATCTCATTCAAGTCCCCCCCCTCACCCCGGGAACAGAGCTTGGCCTTTCCAGGTCCCCTGCCCTTGTCTGGGCCTCCTCCAAATAACAGTGATTGAGGTTATTTCGGACCCAAGGAGGGCCCCACGGCTGCAGGCCTCATTTTATCAACAGAGTGCACCGCAGAGACATCGTCTCCCTCTGTTTACTATTCTCGCATCTGAAATCCTCTGGTTCTTTCTGCTTCTATTCAGAAGGAAAAGGAACATGAGCTCAGTTTTCTGAAATGTGGATCAAAGAACAAATGGGCTGTATTAGGAGGTCCCTCTCTGACCTTGCCTATCCCTGGACTGTCAAAAGATTGTGCTGACCAAAAATGCACATTCCAGGTCCTGCTCCCATCCCTGCCCGCCAAAGTGAATTAACTAAAAGCACAGTGATCTGTGAAAATTGAAATAAAAACCTAGAGAGAGGTTATGGAGGCACCTGAGCCTCAGACGAGGATTCGGACCCAATCCAGCTGAACTTGAGCCCCCAGATAGTGGGGAGCAAGCCTTGGCTACTGGCCAGTCAATGCCCTTATGCTGCAATGAGCTCTCCCTGTTCACCCATTTGGAAGAGGCTACTAGCCGTTGCAGAAGCACACACGTTTGTTATAATTGCCAAGAAGTGTTTTGGTTAGATGTCACTACGTGAAATGAGGGGACAAGGAAGTTGAGATTTATAGGGAATAATCTCAGCAGACTGATTTTCATTTATAAAACCCCAAACATCTCTACTCTCTTGGACTTAATTTTTCTTTTTAAACCTCTGTTGGGATTCTTGAATTGCAGGCTATGTACTTAAGATTGAAACATTCTTACTTAGCCAGGAGCGACTTGGTAAACACCTATGTAGAGATTATATTTCTCTCTATATTTGACACGTTTGGATTCTAGATATTAGCATTTTCATATGGCCCCTATTCTGCATTCTCTCAGTACCGTGTTTGATGACCTTCCACTATCTGACATAGAAACCCATTTAATTTGAGCCCTGGGTGTGCAGAATTCTGCAGGCAAGAGGAAACAGGGACTGCTCAAGTTGTGAGGAATCCTCAAAGGTCTCTTTGTAGTTCTGTTAAAACTCTGGTCAATGGAGTATAGTAGGAGTTGGGGCTTGGGACACATAAAGGTACCAGAAAACTACCTAGACTGGAAGATTTACTATGTTACGAAATATTTCTCCCCTCCTTGCTTCAGTTGGTCCTTCCATAGTGACACGGCTCAGGAGAGTGACACGGCTCCTAATCTTGTTGGGGTGCCGGGAAGCTTTGTTAGAATCTACTTAAAATCATGTGAAGCCTTTTTGAAGAAAATGGGAGATTCAAGGCCCAGAGTAAGGCGAGTATAAGATGGTGACAGAACACTGTGTTGTGCTCAAACATCAATCAGGACATGTCAAAAAAAAAAAAAAAAAGAGCCTGAAGGGCTCCCACTGGCCAAACTTGGAAAATCTGAGTGCCAAAAAGAATGATGATAATAATGGATTATAACATATTTTCAAAAACAATCCATGAGTCCATAATGGTACTTGAAAAAATAGGCGTAGAGAGGGGGAAATACCCCTCTTCTTTATATAAGAATACTTGCTAATAAATGTGGAAGGAATGACGGGATTAGAACAATCATAATTTTTTAATTTCTAGTGCAGTTCTTGCTATTGCAAGGATCACCAATAGATGTTAAAATCATTAGGTGAATTTGCTGGGGAATGAGTTATTCATGCTGTTTGGAAGTAATCACCCTACAGATTACTTATTAATTATAAGGTATCCTTACCATGGAGAGAGATTGTAATGTATCCAACCAGTCAACTGTAGCATCACCAATGACTGGACAAACTGACATTATTGTGCTTCCTGAGAGGGCCACTGTGATACAGCAGAATGGATAGGCTAGAATACTACCTATGTAGCACCCTTGGCAAAATAGTTAACCTGAATCCAGTCATGAGGAAATAGCTGGACATGTTTGTGGTCCGGATCGTGAGACACAGCACTAGCCAACTGGCTGGGACTTCAAAAATGTCTTTGCCATTCATGACCAAAGAAGATGGTGTGGTGGTAGCTTGTTCTAGATTTAAAGAGAGTAAACAGACATGCCAACCAAATGCAATGGATGATTTTTATTCGATTGTGGATCAGAAAGAGAGAGAGAGAGGGAGAGAGGAAGGGAGGGAGGGAGGAAGGGGAGGGAAGGAGAGAGGAGGAGAACTAAGAAGAAGAAGAACTTGCTATGAAGACTATTTTAGGATAACTGGATACAATTGAATAAGAACTATTTGTTAGATAACATTATTGTATCAATGTTCATTTTTTAGGGGTGGTATTGGTAATGTGGTTATTTAGGAAAATGTTCTTGTTTTTACCAGTTGTGTGCTCAAGTATTGAGGGATGAAGTGTCATGATGCCTTACAGCTTATTTTCACAGGGATTAGAACAAAATAAAATAAATGATAGGTAGATAGATAAAGCAAATGTTGCTAGGTGAAGGGAATATGGGTATTCATTGTAGTATTCTTTTAATTTTTCTTTCAATTAAAATTCAGAATAAAAGGTTAGGTTGGGGGAATTTTACAAAAATAGGCAAGGGCAGGTCATGATAATAGAAAGACACTTGGTTACCTTTTCACTGTGAAATCACACTAGTCATTAGTTCACTGACATCACCTCATTGGAAGAGAAAAGTAAAGAGTGAAAATGATTATCTGCAAAAATCCTAAGGAGCTAGAGAGCAAGAACTGACTAGTTAAACAATTAATTAAACAAAAAGAAATCTCAGAATAGTAGCTCGGTTCTCTAAGAGCCTATATCCCTCTCCATTTACCAGAAATATCAAGAAATGAGGATCCAGATATGAGACATATTTGGCCTCACTAAAGGAGTAGTTAAAAAAACCCAAGTTATTAAATGTAATTCACTTCATTAAAAGTTTGACTGGATTTACAGGTAGCTGCAGTGTGTTTAAAATGAGCAATTGGAGCCTTTTAATATTTCCAGACTTTGTAGTGATTTATCGCCATCATTATAATTTATTGTTTCATGATCCTAATTATCGGAAGAGCTGATGCTTCAGATTTTGATGAAATGAGTTGGGCCACACACTAAAGCCAACAGAACATAGAAAAGAGCACATTTCATCCCGTGAGGTCACTTAGGCCAAGCTCCCGGGCATGGCGGGGCGTCTCCAGAGCGCGGGCCTACCTGAGACAATGAAGGACTCTCTCCAGCGTGGCAGCGACAACGACTGGACACCATTGGAGTAACTCCCTTTGTAGCCAGATTGTCCAGCGACTTTCCGAACAAGTATTTTCCCTCCTGAATTATCAAGCACGCCACTATGAAGAGAAACAAAAATGTGAACAGAAAAATACCGTTTGACGCCATCAACCGACCATCAAACCAGCCTCTGTCTTTACTGAAAGATATGAAAGTAGGGAGATTCAGACAAGGTTTACCCTGACTTGCAGCCCACCCCCCAAGAAGGGTGCCTCCATCTCATGGCCCAGCATCTGACCTCCAGCTCAGATGTCCTCTTTCTTATTATCAGGACCTGGTTGTTTCGTTAGGCAGCAATTTCTCTTTGCCACCATGCCTCAGATTTCTTTTCCTTGGTTTCCTCATTCCCACTAGTTTGTTCTTTTAAGTAAAATGTCTTTCCTGACCATTTCTAATTTGGTGTCATGACATGGCAGAATGACTCCCGCTATTTTGAAGGGTGGCCATGACATTTTACAAAGCACATTATTCCTTTTATTTTGGGCCAGGGAAGGGAGGTGTGCAGCTAAACTGAACTCATTAAAAAGATTACCTCCTAGAAATCATTTGTTTAATTTCTACGATTTTGAAGATTTTAGATCCTGATGTGACAGAGACTGACATATCTACCTCTTTGCTTGCATGTGAAGCAAGGCCTCCATTCTGGCTCCTCGGTAACCCTTCCCATTGTCCTCTCTTTGCCCCAGAGCCTAAAATGGCTCCTGTGGGTATCTCTGATTTGTGGCACACAGGCAGCTAAAAATGCACTTAGATTTGTTCTCATCAACACCCTCCCTCCCCACCAGGAATGAAAGTTGCCGTTTCCTGCCCTCCCACCTTCACGAGTCAAGAACTTTCAACACTCAACTGCTCAATGACCCAGAAGGAAGGAAAGTGATAATAGTACTTGACATATAGAGCACGTAATTGCTTTAAAATCATCCCTGTGTAAGGTTTCTCATCGGCTCCTCCTGGCAAACCTGTGAGTTGCAGAGGGAAGGCGGTGCTATTGTTCCCATTTCCCAGAATTGGGCTTGGACCAGTGGAGTGACTCAGTCCAGATTTTGTAACTGGTTAAATTGCAAGGGAGGGATTTGAACCCAGGTCTAGCTGACCTGGAATCCTGAGTTTGTCCCAGTTGGTCACAGTTGCCCCTCAGAGTCCAAAAGCACAGGTACCTCCTGATGCCAACTCCTCATCTTTCCAAATCTTTTTTTTTTTATTCTGACCTGGAGAGATTTTTATTTATTTTTTAATTTTTATTTATTTTTTGAGGGTCATCTTTCCAAATCTTTGTGACCCTGCCCTCTCTTTTCTCTCAGGAGCTCAGAATCCGTTAGCTCAGATCTCCCAGGTGCAGCCAGGCTGGTCTCAGTGCCCCCCACAGAGCACATGGTTTCCACTCACGTGTCTTGTTCATGCTGCTCTTTCCTTCTGGAAAACCAGCTCCCACTTCTGCCTGATGAGGCCCAACACTTTCTTCTCCAGAGAGATTCTGAAAAGACTTGGCTCCATCCCTTCCTAACGATGCCTCAGACTCTTGTCTCACAACCCAGACTCTGATTTTATTCAGTCTTGTGCTATTTCCTAAACATTTCTTGAGTTGATTTTTGTCTCCCAACTAGATTAGACATTTTCTTAGGGAAAAGACAGTATTTTATCCTTCTGTGTGCATTGGAAGGCCTGTCAGTGGTGTGTGGATGCCGCCCACATGGGCTTATGAAAGCCAACCGTTAACTTTCCAGGATTGTGAGAGTTGGTTCATTTCACACTGTAGCTTGAAATCAGCCATGGTGGGAGGATTTAAACCTCTGAAATTGGTAACTCAGCACTACCCCTGCTTTGGGGGAGCTGGCCATTCAGCATTGACGAGCACAGCCCTTGTGTAGGCTGAACATTCTATTTATTTGAAAAAAAATTATCCCCTGCTCCCTTTACTTATAATTAATGGGGAAGATAGAAATAACAGCTTTTTTCTTTCCCTCCCAGGAAATTATTCTGCCCTTGGTTTCATAGTCCATTGTATTGAGGAAATGTGTGTGGGGGCACTTGGTCCTGTTGAAGTGAAGTCCGAAGCACGGCAGGTGCCATTCGCAGTGAGGGGGGAGAGGGGCCTGTGGTGAGCTTCCCTCAGGCTGTTTGAGGAAATGGGAAGGGCCCAGGGGCTTCTCAAGCTGGACAGGGCTGCTGACGCCCCATCTGAGGGTGATGTGAGACTGAAAACCCAGCCTTCAGGGAAGGTGCAGGACGGAACTATGGTGTGCTCATGAGATTTCTCTGTTGCAGGCAAGAGGGATGCCTCATCTTGAGGATGGACTTAACTGGAGGATGTGGATCTTCTCAGATATTCTAGAGAAGGGTAGATGCTGGGGAGGTCAGTGGTCCATAAACTCCAGATGCCAACAGCAGTCCATGGAGGTGGAATGCACCAGAGACTCGACCACTGGAGGAGACACTGGAGGAGGGAGAGAGCCTGCAAGAGGCTGTGGTTTCACTTAGGAAGCAGATAGGAGCCATGGTACTTTGGAGAATTTATGTAAATCTGACCTCGTTTCTATCCTCACTTAGGGATAGGCACCTCGTATATATTCTCTGAAAGAGCAAAAACCGGTTTCACTTCTTTGCAACCTCAGATGCCCTGCATGATGCTGGACATAGCCTTCAGGTTCCTGTCCTCCCTGACCCCAGTGCCAGGGGCCTGGGCTCAGCTGAGGGTCAGCTGCCTGGTTCAGAGAAAAGGGCTGGGATTTGAACAATTGCCATTCTCAGGGTAGGCATCTGGTCAGAAATCAGCACGAAGAGTGCTCTGCATGGGGATGGCCCCCTCATCGCCCCATTGGGGAGAAATCTTCCTTCTCCCCAGTACTTGGTCCCACTCTAAATACAGAGGTTGATTCAGGACAAGACTGAGCCAAAATATGATGCCTCAAATATGTTCATCATCCTTTTGGTTTGAAAGAATCGAGGGAATCACTCATAATAAGACATCTGATTATGATATATTGTATGAATATTAAATCCTAAAGCTAAATCTGAATGTCTAAACCAAAGTGTGCTCTCCCCAGCCTTCCAGTTCTGAACATGGGGGGCTCTGACAGGCCAATATTGGAGGCCCCGTGTGTACTTTCTACTCAAGTTCTCTGTCTTGAATCCTGCCTTCTGAAAACAGACTTGTTCTGTGTGTGAAAAAAAAACAACAACAAAAGACTGAGAGTATCCAAAATTCCTATCTGTTCTCTCTTAAGACCTCTATTCATCCTCCTCATGGACAGTGATACTTCTTTCCGAATAGAGTTTCCCACTAGATCAGACACTGGTCCAGGAAGTTTCAAAGGGCACTTGGTTGCTCAAGTAGCAAATCTTGTTTTTTGAAACATTCAAGTTCTTCTTCACCCCTCTATCCTCCTCTATAGTCTCTCCACGAGTTCCTACACCTCAATCCAAACGCTGGGATTGCAGAGTCCTGGTCCTTGTCAATACTGTTCTTATTTTGTCCCCGGTGGTGTGTCCATCCATCGTAAAGCCATTCGACTTTTACCGGTCCAAAGTCTGCATCCACCTCCCTTTGTCTATTAAGCAGTACTGGGGCTCCCCTGTTCTTATGTAAATGTGTCTCTTGGGCTCTGGACTGGAAGTCCCGGGACATGAGCTCTAATCCTGAATGTGCAACTAACTAGCCATTGAATTAACTTCCTTATTTCTCAGCTCCTCTTCTAACAAACGGGAATGTTAACAGCAGCGTCGTGGGGTTGAAATGATGCTAGAGGGAGAGAATCACAGTGCAAGGGATTACTGTGATTATGACGACATCTTTGTGAGGCTGGATTAACTCACGCGACTCTGACCTGCCTGGGAAACACGGAAAGGCAAGACAGAGCCAGCAAGGGCCAGAGGAAGCAAGTGCCAACCATTTTGGATCCCAGCTGGAAAAATATAGGCGACCTTAAGACAGGCTCGGCCCCTGCAACAGACATCAGTGTCCACACAGACACGGACTGGAGAGTGCTTATGGTGTGGATGCTGTTCGGGCATGCACATGCATGTGTAAGGATGCATGTGAGCATGCACATGTGTGCAAATGTGTGGGAGCACGTGTGTATTCGTGCACATGCGTATGCACGTATGGGTAGATTTGTGTACCTCTTTCCTTTTTGCATGAAATTTCTTTCAGAGCGAAAGCAAAATATTTTTTCTACAGTCTGGGGTTAAGAAACAGGGTTTGGTGTAGTTTTTCTTGAATGTTTCCCTACTTCTCCATAATAGAACCTTCAGAGTCCTGCTCCCGTTGGAAAATCAGTCAAGCTCATCAGCCCTCCGCAGCAGCGGTGAGGAGGACGGCCAACAGACTCTGCTGGTAATTCTTAAATCTCAGTTTACACATAGACTTTGTTCTTGCCGCTTGCCCAAATTTCTGAGAAGCTACTGACGAGACACCTATCGAGGGAGTAAATTTTACATCTTTCCCCCTCTCTCTGGCAGGGATACAATGGATCCATCACCTGACTGGTGTGCAAGTAAAGAGAAGGAAAAAGATCCTGAAGCCTGAATACTTCAGAAACTTTGCCCAGTATCTGGTGGCTGAGCATTGATTCAGGAGTCATGTCCCAAACCATCTCAAAGCGTGGGCACTGGACTTAGGTTCGAGTCCCCACTTGGATACTTGTTAATAGTGCGGCCTTAGAAAAGCTAGTCAGTCTCTCTCCATCTTTAAGATGTGGATAACAGTAGTAGCTACCGCATAGGGAACCGTGAGGATTAAATAAGGCGACATAAGTGAGATGCTCGACAAGGACACTCTCAGCCTTATTATCAAAGATAGGAAGTAAACATGCATCTCCCGAGTTTGGACTCCCAGCCTAAGCAAAAGGGTTCTGTGAAGGTCACTTCTGCCTCTCTTCATTTAGGCAGTGACTTAGTTCAAAGCATGTCCTACTTCCTGTCCTCCTTCCTGGAGCCCAAACCAACAGCTGCCTGAGCAGAACCACCTGTCACCCTCTTCCTCACTTTTCCTGTTCTACTTGTCTCCAGGCCATCACCACTGCTGTGACATTTCTTCTCCAAATTTCCAGGCCTTCCTTAGTCACATCCCTATGATTTCCTCGTTCAGTACATACAGGTAGAAAAAACATGCTTTATGTCACCGAGAACTATGGTTTCCTTGTCATGAACATGAGAGAGTAGAATTCTCCTTCCCATCCCCTTAGGGTCAGGGAGAAGTTGGTCCTTTCCAGGGAGCACTGTGAAAGGAGATCTGGGACCACGCATGGCTTCTGTATAATCCCATGGAGTAGGGTTGCCACAGTTACATGTGTACAGTGTTGCTTGCTCAATCAGGTAACCTGCACGGGGAGCTCCCTCCCCACAGCCTGACTGCTCGTTGTTAAGTAGCTTGGAGCTACCCACCTGTGAATCGCGGCGCCACACACGCTCGAGTAGGATGCATAGATATCCGTGCCATAAACGTGGTATTTCGGGTCTTGGCATCCTGCCGGACATTTTACAACAAACTCAGGATTGATTATCTTTCCAGCTTTGACATCGCAGTTGATCTGGGGCACAGCTGGGAAAGCAAAATGAGGTCAAAATTACACTTAGTGGTATCAGCTTATATATGGGGTGACTCTGTTAGGTCATAACTGTTCATTTACTTAATCTCCAAAAGCCAGAGCCTGGGCTGACCCTGGGTCCTCTCCATATAATGAAAACAAAGATATAATTAGGACACTCCTCAGACCAAAAGAACAACAATGACCATCAATTGCATTTAACCTGCTGAGAGCAGAAACAGAGGTGGAATCTTGTGCTTCTCCAGACAATTGAAGAGGAGGACTCTGGGAAAAGACCTACCTCCAAGGGTCAGAAGTGTCACCTTGAGCCCGTGGCTGGAGAACACTGATTTTTCAGAAGCTCAGGAGCTAGCCCAGGAAAAGAAGGACCCCTCAGACAACCTTACAGGACAAAGGGAAGGCATTTCAGGAAGGGTAAATGAGGGAGGCTGGGCCCGGGGGCCAGGACGCCAGGACCAGGTTGGCCTGCCGCCTCAGAGGCCCTGTGCTGGAGCTGGGCAGGAGGATGGAGAACGGGAGGGCTGGGCCAGGTGAGGGAGGCGGTAGTGCTTGTCTTCTCTTCAGGAGGTGGGGCACAATGGAAGGTTTTTGGATGGGGAGACAGATAATGAAAGAGATCTTTGGTTGTGGTCCTAGAGAACGGGTCCTAGATCCAGGGCAAGATGAGAGCCATCTTTACTCATCTCCCCAACGCTTGGTGGAAAGTGAGGAACTCCCCCAGGGAGCATCCAGAGGGAATTCATTCTTCCTCTCTCCTTTTTGGCTTTGTTGCAGCCATTGCCACACTAGCACTGTCCATCAGGCAAGTCTTCTAGAGCTGAAAGCTTGCCCAGGAATGAGGTGGCATAGATTCTCTAGTGGCAGTACCTAAAAGGGGGACTTGCTGCGTCTTTCTTGAAAAAATGGCCCTCAAAACTCCTGAAGGAAAAGGTCTCCTAGACGATACTATCCTGGTGCCCTTGTAGCTAGGAATGTCTTCTGTTCTGGGCCCCGTTCTTCACAAGGGACTCTGAAACATGAGCACAGTTCAGAGAGTAAGCAGGCTCAGGAAGAGTCCAGAAACCATCAGACGTGAGGGCGGGCTGGCAGACGGGGCTGTTCAGCCACGAGGAGGTGAGAATCTGGAGGAGGAAAGGGGTCCTTGTCTTCCCAAGTAGGACTGTTGTGTGCCATGACACCAGACGGCCAAGCGAGAATGAAAGGGGAGATTTTCTACAGAGCAAATTCTGCAAAGAAGAACTTTCTAGTGCCTGAGGCTGCCCCTGAAGGAAGGGGCTGCCTCCTGAAGCAGTGCATGCTCGGGAAGCATGCGAGCAGGGACCGAACAGTGGAAGAGGGGATTTCTGCATTGGGTGGGAGGGAGAAATAAAGCCCCGCCCAGTGCTAAGAGTCCGTGATTACACACAGGGATCCAGGATCTCTGCCAGGCCACCCACCCTCCGACTGGGTTACCGAGATGGTCTCAGAGTTGTTAATGGCTTCCAGCTGTATCCAAGATGCACACTCTTTTTTTTTTTTTTTTTTTAACCCTTATGTACCTGGACAGAGCAGAGTTGCGTTTCACTCAGACTACGGGGAGAAGTGAAGTTAGAACTCCTGCTCTTTTCCTAAACACTCCTCCCAGTCGATCTTGGCCATGCAGGGCTGGGCCAGCGTGCAAGCCCTTCTCCTGGGGGTGGTGGTGGTGGGGGGGCAGGTCTGATCGCAGGCTAAAACAATTTGTGGTCTCGGTTAAGAAGCCAAGCACTGTGCTCCGAGCAGCCTGCGGGTTTTCTCCTCCCTACCACAGGTGGCCTCCTCTCCAAAGCTGTGTTCCTTTTATCTTTCATTCTTTTCAATCCTGACATTCAAGGCTGCATTTACTATTTTGAGCCTTAGAATATTTATTTATTTTTTTTAAAAGGCAATTTGGGGCCTAAAGACGCCAGTGTCATCTCTCCTGAAATTAGTTAATTGATCCCTGGGTGTAATTGGACATGCTCAGCTCCCCTCCCTTCTGCACCCCACTCCCCCACTCCCAAATGCATCTGCTCCTTCACATGGACACAAAATGGAAGCCTGCCTTCTTGGTTCTCAGGTATTTGAACTAGGAGCTGACCGGCTCTGTGAACTGGGATTTAATGTGGATGTGACTTTGGCTCCCAGAGGTTTTGGCTCTCCTGGCAGGCCAACCCAAATTTTCTGGAGTGGAGAAGTTAAAAGGGGAGAAATCTAGAAGCTTATTTCATGAGTGTTACACAGTGATCAAAGCTACAGAAAGACTTCAGGGTATTCACAGTACAGGAAGGGGTTTTCCATGAATATAGTTGGTTTAAAAAGACAAGGGGGAAAGGTCACATGGGAATATTTTGCTTCCTGCTAATCAAGTTCCCCTTTCCCTTAAGGGGTGTTTGTTTGTTTGGTCTCAGTTTTTACAAAGGCCTAGAAGTACCTTAAATGAGATCTGCTTTAACCGCACCCAGTTCGATCAGTAAAATCAGTGACTTAACTTGACCCATAGCAGGGAAAAAATTAAATCAAGCACATACGCTCATGTGCTTTGGAAAAACAGGGTGCAATGGCAAAGTGTGGCTAAAGGTCAAATATTTGTTAAATTTGTACAGAAAATTAAGCTGGAGAGAGTGAGCTAATTAAAAGTAATTGCCAAAATCACTGGAAAGTGTAATGTCCGAATCCGGCCTCTGGAAGTGGCAGCCATTTGCATCTTCTTGGCCACTCTTCTTGGAGTATGGAAACCACGGTTTAGTTCTTTCCAGTATTCCCCCGGTTGTTTGTGAAGTCGTCTGTTTTCTTGTAACCTCTGAGAATCTTTCCTCCATCCACTTACGGCCCAAACGAAGTGATTTCTCTTTGCATTTCCTCTGAACACTTTTGAACTATTCGATCCTACAGCTTAGGTTTTCCTTTTTCTTTCTCTTTTGTTGTTTAGATTCATTTTCATGTCTCCCTTCACCTTTCTCTGGATGTTTTCTCAGACGTGCAGAAATAAGACTTCTTTAAGAGGACAAGTCAAAATTAAGGCAGCTCAAGAGTACTCCACTGTTATCCTCAGGAGACAACTTAGTTAGAAGTCATCAAAAGGTTTCCTGCCAGGAATGTTTTCAGAAAGCAAGGCAAGAGCCTCTCCCATTCCTTCCTGAGTCATTGCCGTGGTGGTGAGGGAGCCCAGAGATCCTGGGGTTGCCCAGAGCTGCTTGGGTAGAACCTTTGCACAGAGACCTGTTCCTCGGCCATGTGTTCTTCTTCTCCCTCACAGGATGCCTTGCCTTCTCATGGTTGCTATACCTTTCATGACACAGCTCAACATCAGAGCATCGCAGAATCTGCCAAGGATTTCTTCCCAGAGGCCCTTGGCACAAGCCACAGGCAAAAGAGAACCACCTGCAACCCGGATAGTTAGAACTGAAAGATGACCTTTAGCTGAGCTCCCTGAGGTCCTGTGATTACTGTATGGATCTCAGAGGGTCTGTGGGCAAAACCGGTAGTGTCTGAGCCACTGTTTCATGCAACACTGGAATCTTAGAGGCAGCACTGTGCATCCTTCTGCCCTGGGTTGGGTCTCCTGCCTGATCTAATAACGGATCAGGTGATGGGTTATCAGACCAGGTGATGTCACATACAAATAAGCCAATGACACAGCAGGCCAAATCAAAGGGAAGACCCTACTTCTTGTTTTCCATTCATCTTTTTGCTGATCCCAGGCAAGCTATGTTGCTTTTGGAAAACAGATTTCCTAATCCATTCAGAGAAAGCCATTATAAGCTCGCCTCCTGGCTGCTTAGAAGAACTGTTGTAACATAAAAGCACTTATGCAAAAGTAGTTTTCATATGAAAGTTGATTCTGTTAGACTGTGATATTGAACTAGAGCAAAATCCTACTTTAAGAGAATCATACAAAAATGTTAATTTAATGAAACAAAAATGACCATTAAGTAAAATTTGAAGATGAATATTTCCATCTCCTTGATCCTGACACCCAGTGACCAAATCATGGTAATCTTTCCTTTAAAGTGACTTCTTTTGCAAAGCATTCTTTCCCATTTTTCTTAAACAGTCCTCAAACTACCTCAAATCTCTGGGTAAAAACCCATCAATACCTTTTTACTGCCTCTGAAAAAATTCTAAAATCCGTAAGGCCTTTCCACAGTCCCTTCCACAGAACTTCTGGGCTTGCCACTTACAGTTGCTGGTACTTTTCAAATGCATATTATCTTGCAAACTTGGCTTGGATCATTTCTCACACCTGGAACCCTTTTTCCTTTTATCTGCTTAAATGCTACTACTTTTCAAGGTCCCAGTTTCACTTGTATCTTCATTCACCTACTAGAATATATACTCCACAAAGGCAGGGATTTCTGTTTTGTTTACTGCCGATCAAGAATGTCTGCTGAGGGGCGTCTGGGTAGCTCAGGCTGTTAAGCATCCGAATCTTGGTTTTGGCTCAGGTCATGATCTCAGGTTCATGAGATCCAGCCCCATGGCAGGCTTCATGCTCAGCAGGGAGTCTGCTTGAGATTCTCTCCCTCCCCATCTGTCCCTCCTCACCACTTGCACATGCCCTCTCTCTCTATCTCTTTCTCTATCAAATAAATAAATAAAATATTAAAAAAAAAAAAAGAATCCTGAATGAGTGAATGAACGAAAGCAGTCCATTAGCAAATCTTATTAGTTTTATTTCTGAAGCTGCTATTCCTCTCTACCTCCATGTTGGTCCAAGTCACCAACATTTCCTGTCTGGACTATTAACATAGTAGCCTCGTATCTTGTCTTCTTCCTTCCAGTTTGCCCTTCCCTTTGCCCCAGTCATTTCTCCATTGTGCAGCCAGTGTGATATTTAAAAAAAAAAAAAAGTAATCACATTTCATCAATCTCCTGCTTAAAACCCTCACTAGCTTCCTATTGCCCTTAGGATAATGTCCAAGTTCCTTGAGATGTTCTACAAGGCCCTAAAAGATTGGTCTCTGTACTCCTGTCTACTTAATCTCCTACCACT